GTGAAGCAGGGCGTAAAAATTTACGTAACAGCCTAACTCAAGTCGATCTGAGCAGTCCCTTTGCTCGTCTCCCCTATGTAAACAGATTAATTTCCACGTGAAAACTTCTCAGTTTTGGCTACTTCAGACTGCGCAAAGCTTTGTGAACTTTAAGAACGTCGACTTTCTTTCACAAGTACGAAGTTGTCTATCGTGTTATATTTATTTTTTGGAATGGAATTTGCTTTTTTCTTTCGGTCGTTGTCAAACCAAAGAAAAGCTTGTTAGTAGTAAGGGCTAATAATCAGTTGTGTGCGTTTTTACGAAAACAATTATCCTATTCAGACCCTCGCCTGACGTCTGAATTATTACATCCTCTACATTTTATAGAAGTAAGGTACCTACCTTATGATAAATAAGACCATTCAGAGCACTTCTCAGGGTTATTCCCATTAATTCACATCTGTACATAAGCGTTTGAGATGAAACTTTCTGCATCAAAGAGCTGATACTCAGAGCCAGCGCACAACCATAGAGAAACATTTTCTGCTGTGACTCCGTAGACATCAGCGATGAAATTAGATATCCAAGGAGCAAAGGAGAGGGAATACGGAAGGATGAGCGAAAAATACCCATGCAAATGAGGATCATAACTTCCCTAAAGGAGATTGTTCGTGTGACGCTTTTCCAAAGCTTTGGTCGTCCTCGCGGAGTTTCATGGCATTTTCTCTCTTCCTCCCTCCAGTTCTCCTGAAGATTTTCGGTTACGAATGACGTACGATTTTCTTTTGAAAGAGGTAAAAAATCACTTTGCTCCAACGCTCGTTGTTTGCCTGTTTTGAAGACACTGCTCATCCACTGGTAGAGAACATAAGAAACAAAGCCAACCTTCTGCGGAGCCTTTTCGTCGTCTTGCGAGATCTTGTTATACCCGTGCCTTGTCATCTCCAGTTAAGTAAAGCTAACAATGCACGCTAAGATAGGAAGGAGAACATGAATTAAGTCAAAACACAGACCATCAACTGTAAGTTCAAATCACAAATATATAGACAACTGTTATAGTATAGACATGCAGGAATTGTCTCTTGAGAAATGCATAGAGAAAATAAAATATCAACAGCGATTTTGCTGATAATTTTACAAATATAGAGAGATGTCTAAACTAAAAGCAGTAAATAATCATGGTACATGTTACCAAGTTATTAGCAGATCTATGGAAAGTTCTATGCACTTCTATTA